CTGTGAAGTTTTGTTGAAGTCGGTTGAAAAATGTAGGAAATCCGATCCAATATATAAACGTACAGACACACACACACACAATCTGTGTTTTATAATAAGTAAGATGACACAATGCCATCAGATTCTCTTGAGGAACAAGGCCCTGATATTAACTATTCAGCGATCAATACCAGAATAGCTCCTTCAAAACGAGAGCACAGTCTTTGATAATCGGCTTTCAGAATTAGTGCATCCCACTCCAAGAAGGAGACAAAATATGAGATGAAATACTTCTGGCCAACTGTTCCTATAATACCTGAAAGCCCAGATCTGCTACCACCGAGACAATCCCAGAGAATTGTCAAGAGACACAGTCACCTGGATGATTTTGTGTTGGACTAGGATAAAACAAAACCAAGGAGAATGTGGTAGGACAAACTGATTACCTCCCTGTCTTTGTACAATTAAGTCATGTCGTCTTAGCCAAAATGGCAAGACTCTTGTTATATTAAATAAAGGTATCGGAGTTAACTCCTCCTTAATTGTCCAAATTGTTCAATAGGGCATGCTCTCCTTACACTATAAATACTGGGCGATTTCTTGCCTTGTTCTCTTTTTCCTTTGCATTTCAGTGGACACATTTAAAAGATGTGATCTCTCACAGAGATTTGCGTTTTGCCCACTTGTGGGGAAATGCCATGAAACACACATACATACGAACATTCATCAAAATATGAACTCTTTACGTTCACACACAAACACAAATGTTGATGTCTTTGTCCGTTGTAAATTTTGTTTTTTAATACATATATTTGTTTGTATATATATATATATATATATATATATATATATATATATATCTCAGTCTTGTTTGTTTTCTTTATATTTCTTTATGGTGGATTCAATATATATTCCATATTCTTGTAGTGGACTCTCTTCTATCAGGAGTTACATATCTGTTCCTAATTTAACAACATGTAAACCCATGGTCTGCTACATAGATTGGTGACCCTCTGATGTGGTTTTTTTTTTTTTTTACTCTTTATAACGGAAACCACAAGACTGTATATACATATAAACTCACATTTACAAAGGTACATTAAGCCAAACTAGACTCTGAGTTTTCATTACAAGCTTGAAGAGTTAAAATTAGTTTCATAAAGAGCTAGAATTGCTGGAGAATATTCCAAGAGAAATAATTCTACTTTAGAGAAATTAGGACAAATGCCACAAATGTTGGAGAAAGAAAGTTGGAGGAGATTAGGTGTTTTGTTTTTTTTTTGTTGTAAACTAGTATTAATTTGTTACTTAACTCACTTGTAGTAATTGTTGTAGTCACATGATAAACCTTTAAAGTGGCCTAAAAAATTATCTACATAAATGTATGATTTAAGACAGTTATGGTCAACTTTTTTTTTGACCTGTGGACCGCATGACATATTGCTAATTGTTAATATCTCTTGCTGTCAACAGGTCAAAAAAAGGTTGTGCATATCTCGCCGAAATCATACACAAGATATTCAATATTTTTATTGTTTGTTGAATTGGAGATATGCACATCAAATAGGTACAGAAGTCCAAATATCTGCGAAGTGTTTTAATAGAGCATGGAAAATGCGACACTGATATTTGAACACATGTTGGATTAACAAAAGAATCATTTCAAAAACTCGGCAAGATGCTGCAGAACAGAAAAGAAGACTGGATTGCCCTGCGATATCCATCCTCTTATAAAGCAGTGAATGTTGCACAATCTACCCAGGTCTGGCACTAGGGTCTCGCAAAATTTCCCATCTTGAGAGCCACAAATCCTTGATGGAAAATTGGGGAGAACAGCAGCGCATTTTTTAAATTACCAAAAATCAGAGAATTATCCAATTTAAATGAAAATTTCAGTACATATTTATTATTTACTTTTATAATGACTAGGGTTTTTTATTTTAAAAAATCTGAGAAAATGTTATTCTTTTTGTAATAACCACCAATATTTTAATGACTAAATTTTACTGAAATTAACACTTCTGCTCCCCCCCCCACTTCCCAGTAGATGGTGCCCCCACATGGTTAAAAGGCTTGGGGTAGTAACCACCGGCCCTGTTGATTATTATAGTTGATCATTGATAATATAACTTATGTTGAAAAAGCAAAACAAACGCTGCTGAAATAAACCCTTTTGGAGCTTCAACCTTGTCAGGGGTTCCTGCATAGTACGCACTGCACCGGCCCTGCAGATACACGATGTATATCATTAGTTGATGACTGACAATGTAACATCAATTTAAAAATAATTAAAAAAAAAAAAAAAAAAAAGAATGGCGGATGGTCATAAAACAGTGCTGAAAAAAAAATAGCATGGGTCACAACATGTCCCTCCCCCAAGTCCAGGGTTTCAAGAGTAAGACGTGCCAGCCATGAAAAGACTGGAGGCAGCAGAAATGTCGTTCTACAGAAGGATACTGAGAATTCCCTGGACAGATTAAGTAACAAGGAAGTCTTAAAATAAATGGCAATAAAAAGATTTACATTCAAAATCAGGAATAGATAGCTGAAATTACTTGGACACATAATGAGAAAGGTAGGCTTGGAAAACTTAATACTCACAGAGCATATTGAGGGCAAGAGATGTAGAATAATATCCAAAAAAAGAGGAGATAATGAGACAAAATAGAAAAGCTATTCAGATTACACATTTTGCCTCTTTATATCAGGTGTCTTCTGTCCGGAATGAGAGACAAACCCATGTGAGGAAATTGCATTGGAATTTTGACAAAGAGGTAGTAAATATCCTTATAAAATGCTACAGCAAGAATTTTTTTTTTTTTTCCTGAAGCAGTTAATGTCTGCTGGATTTTAAATGAATGCACTCTGAGTAAATCTCTGTTTTTTCTGTGTTTTACTTCTCTAGTTTGTAAAGATGCCTATTATAAAAAGATGAAATGCATTGTCTGAATGGCTTTTCCCTCATACATCACCACAACAGACATTTTATATCTGTAAGGACATTCATTTTTGTGGTTAAGAACTTTTTTACTTGTGTCTTATTATGAGGTCTGTGTGAAAAGTAATAGGACTGGGTTTCTTCTTTGTGAGATGTATCGTCCACAGTGAGTTGTTGCCACAGGGCCAAATGATTAATCAGTAAATCTACAAAAATGATCCTGTGGTGTTTGCTTTGCTCAGTGTACAAGAAGTGACGAGAGTTGTGGCAGAACAAATCATGGCTGCTTCATCATGACAATGCACCTTGCTCACAACATCCTGAGCATCTGATACTCATTGGCTGAGAGGGATATCACTGTACCGGAACAATGTCTTTATTCACCTGGTCTTGTTCTGTTTTCCCTGTTTCTATTCTCCAAGCTCAAGGAGATGATCAATTGGACTTGTTTTGAATGCATAGAGGCAGTGGTGTAAACATCCCCCGGGGCGGCCCGCTCAAATGTCACCCCAATGACCCCGATTCACCCTATGCTGAATGGTTAGCTGTAGCTAAATTTTCATACATGCTCTACCTCTACTTTACTGACCGGTACGTTATTGTTTACGTGTATGATCCAAGACAAAATCCAATATCACAAAATAATCAGTTCAAATCAAAAGATTTTTAAAATGCAACCGTTCACTTTAAGAACAACTAAATACAAAACACGGCAATACACAAAAGAATGACATTCGATACTATGGTCTTAGAATGAATGTTTTCTTTTTTTCATTGTGGCAAACTGGTCAATGACATCGTCAAAATCTGTTTGTCTTGTAAGCTCGTTTTCAATGGACAGCACAGCCAGATCCGACAGTCTCGACTGGCTCATGGTTGACGTAATTTTCTGTTGCTAATTTTCCGGTGTATAATTTTCTGGGTACCATTTAATTATCAATGATGTTTGAAAGTATTTTTCTTGATAAAAATGTTATATTTAATTTTTAAGCATTTTTCGGAACATTGTAAATCAACTGCATTCTTTTAAAGGTTACCTAGAGAATTTATGCAAAGTTTTATTTTTTTGTTTTTCTTTATACAAGTAAAATAAATTTACATCGTATATTGATGTTATTATGATTTTAGTTTTAGCGATAATTTAAAAACAATAAATATTTATCATTAGTACCAATAATGGAAAATTAAGTTAAAAATTTAAAAGAATCGTTTTTGGAATCGGAAAATAGGCACAAATTTTTCCGATTCCAATACCGTTTCCAATACCCCAAAAAGTTCCGATTTTTCCGATTCCGATTAATCGTCCCAACACTAGTAGATATATTCAAAAGTATATCACTCACTCAATGGAAAATTGTATCTCAGCGAATTGATACACAGGCAAGACTGAAATTGTTGCACTTTTGGCTTCGTATTTCGCTTTGTTGTTATTAATGATGCAGAGTTAAAATACCATATCATCCGATAAAATGTTACAACAATGTCTCTTGTTAGTAACCAAGATTGTAGCAACTGAAACACATGAAAGCTGAAAACACTGTTATTTTTCCTACTCAAAAATTTCCTGACAATTTATTAGAAAATTTCTGACAGGAGGGACAAAACTGGTGTGGGGTTCATAAATTATTTCTGGGGGGGTCATATGCCCGCGTGTGAAACCCTGTGTCTCCACTGTTTTCAGACTATTTTTGGCACCTTAGCCTGGTTGAAAAATTTTGTTGGGGATGACGTTGTGTCATCCCCTCCTGTGCTGGCACCCGGGGCGGTCCACTCCCCTTAGCTACGCCACTGCATAGAGGCCATCAAAAGGGCTGCAAGAGCTAGAGGCTATCCAAGAAGAATCCTTCCAGCTGTGCATAGATGCATAGCAGAGGAGGATTGCATTAGATCCGAGGGGTAATTATTTTGAAGGGGAAACCATGTAGTTTGTTTGGAATTGAAAGAAATTATTTGTGACACCAGTCCTGTTACTTTTTAGACAAATCTTGTATAATTGTTAATGTCTATAAAAATGATAAGTAAAAGGATTCTGAGAAATCATTTTGTTGTATCAAGGAATTTTTATTTTTTTTTTATTTTTCAGAGAAACATCAGAGACCTTCCATTTTGCAATGTTGCTGACCTGTTGTGCAGTATTACCTGCTGTCGTCACTCTTGGCAATAACTTTAGCCTTTGGGTTAAGGTGTATGCTGATAACAGGTAACACATGACCCCCAACTATACATATTTTTGATTGTCACTTATTTAGACATCTATTTTGATTTAGATTTCAGTATCATATAGTAGTCTCTTCTTATTCTGGGGGAGGATATACCCTGAGGTCCCCAATGGATGACTGAAATTGTAGGTAGTACTAAACCCTATATACCGGATGTTTCACAATTTTTGAAACAAAATGATTGGACACAAATCAAGGACCACAAATGATAGAGGAATGGAAATTACATTTATTGAAAGGTAAAAGGGTAACATTTTAGGATCTGCAACCATTTAATCTCAAACCTGAACCAAAATTGTCAAGAGGAGCCCTAAAATACATGCTCCAGATTTCTGCCATTCAGTTAAAGGCACCGTTGAATGCAAAGTGGTTGATATTGCATGTACATTCCTCCTGGATGATCACTTGACTCTTCTCAGTGATGGCTGCCTTCAATGCAGCAATGGTGCAAGGGTTGCCCTGGTAGATGTTGTCCTTGAGGAACCCCTAGAAGAAATCTCGGGATAGTTTAGTTCAGGTGTCTGTTCCGTTTCAGCTTTGCGGCTGATGAGATGATCCCCATACCATGGTAACATTAGCAGTGTGAGGAGGGAACCACTGTTCCTTCTTATCAAGGTCCTTACGCTCCTCAAGCCCCCTCCCATCTGAGAGGCTGCTGCTTTGTTTTAACAATTGTTAAACACCCTGGATGATATGTTTTTCGTACATACATCATACTTATTATAAAACCCAGGTTGTGTGTGTGTGTGTGTGTGTGTGTCAGTACGTTTATATATTGGATTGGATTTCCTACATTTTTCAACCGATTTCAACAAAACTTCACATAACTACGTAAAATTACCTTGCGGTGGTTCTGACAGTGCCAAAAATGGGAAAAACACAATTGTTTTTGCACAAAATCAATTTGAAAACACAATTAAGAGGAATCACGAGAATGAAAAGAGGACAACTCATATCGAGTTATACTTATTATAAAACCCAGATTGTTTGTGTGTGTGTTCATTTATATATGGGATCGGATTTCCTACATTTTTCAACCGATTTCAACAAAACTTCACTTTTTTTTTGACAGGTAGTGTATCTTATTGTCTTGCACACTTTTTTCTTTATTTTTACATTCAGAATGCTTTAAAAATTCCATTTACAAGACAATTGTTTATAATAAAATTCTATTCAATCGGTAGACTTATAACGATTGAAAACAATGTTTTGTTTGATTTTGGGTTTGACCAAGTCATAAAAAAAAACAAAAAAAACACAAAATCAAAAAAAAAAACTAATTAAGACATGCGTTTCCGTCAACCTTAAACAATAATCTTTGTCAATTTTATTTTTCAGTCTTTATGATGGTCGATACTTGATCTATCTCTTACTGTTACATTGCCGGGCAACGCCGGGCTCTACTGCAAGTATATGATAGAATTTCATTTATAAATTAGATACAATAAGAGATTAATAAAAAATAATTAAACTAAGAATGAAACTGATCAATTATACTAATATATTGTAATAAAAGTTATGTGATGGACAAAAGAATAGTTTGGACACAATAAGATATTAACAACAATAACTACTAAGATAGAACAATTACAACAATATACCGAAATAAAATGTGATGGATAGAAAATGTATTCTTATCATAGAACTTACCAACCTCAGTATAAATTCTTTTTTCTTATTAAGCTGATAATTTTCTACTTTTTCATATAAAATAAGCATCCTTTGGACTTGTATATTCTAATTGTTCGTATAACTACGCTTGCTATTTGAGACTATTATTAAGTAAAACTTATGAGTTGTTTATTTCTGGGCTTGACTGTAGATAAGAAACTGCAGAAAGCAAAATTAGTGTTAACAGGTGGGGAATCAATTGTAGATAATAAAAATTTTTCACGTGTATTACTGATAGTATTTGAACTTCTCATCGCTCTGATATTTCTCTTTTGTGATAAATGGTACCAATTGGTTGTGTGAGGACAAACAGAGGAAGATCCCTGAAAATATCAAGATGATATTTCTTGTTGATTATGAACAGTTTTTTTATTTATTTATTGACCCACTTCAATGATGTATATTGTAGACTAGCAGTAGAGCCCAGTGTTGCCCGGGGATGTAACAGTAAGAGATAGATCAAGTATCGACCATCATAAAGACTGAAAAATAAAATATGACAAAGATTATTGTTTAAGGTTGACGGACACGCATGTCTTAATTAGTTTTTTTTTTTTTTTTTTACTTAATTGGTCAAACTCAAACAAAAACATTCTTTTCAATCGTTATGAGTCTATCGATTGAATAGAATTTTATTATAAATAATTGTCTTGGAAAATGGAATTTTTAAAGCATTCTGAATGTAAAAATAAAGAAAAAAGTGTGCAAGACAATAAGAAACACTACCTGCCAAAAAAAAAAGTGAAGTTTTGTTGAAATCGGTTGAAAAATGTAGGAAATCCAGTCCCATATATAAAGGAACACACACACACACACAAACACACACACACACACACACACACACACACAAACAACCTGGGTTTTATAATAAGTATAACTCGATATGAGTGGTCCCCCTTTCATTCTGGTGACAGAATCGTGTTTTATCGTGTTTTCAAATTGATTTCATGCAAAAACAATTGTGTTTTTCCAATTTTTGGCGCTGTCAGAACCACTGCAAGGTAATTTTACGTAGTCCTGTGAAGTTTTGAAATCAGTTGAAAAATGTAGGAAACCGATCCAATATATAAATGTACTGACACACACACACACACACACACACACACAAAAATCTGCATTTTATAATAAGTAATATATATGTATATAGATAACAAAAGATAACATAGATGTTTTAATTATGTAATTGTTTAAAATGTGCTATATATTTATGGAGGAAGAGTGATCAACATTGGAGATAAGTTATGTAGATAAACCACTGTGGACATTTTTTTTTGTGTGTGTATTATGTGTGTGTGTGTATATATATACGCGTACGTGTGTGTCTCTATATGTGTGTGTATGTATGGGGAAGATAGTGGCCTCATATACCACAAGAATTACTCCTAATTATGAGTCATTATGTGTGACATTTTTTTGGGGTCTCATCTTCACACCATGAAACCCCACGAAATTTTTTACGAAACCAAACGATTTCAGTTTCATTTTTATCACTTCTGAGTGACCATATCCAAAGAAAGACTATTGAAAAAAGACTTTCAAATTTTAATAAAATTAAATTTTATCAACATTTATACCATTGTAAGAGAAAAAGATTGAACCAAAATTGTATGTTAAAAACATTTTTTTAATTGACTAGTTTTATGAAATAAATGTGAAAAATCTATTATTTGTTTACAAAAGAAATGAAGAAGAAAAAAGAGGAAATACGATATGATGTCTGAAAATGAAATCTATTTGTTTCAGTTTTAAAAAAAAAAAAAAAACTTTTTTGCGGTAAAATTAAGTTAACAACAAAACAGCAAGTAAAAAAAAAATAAGATTCTCTTATATCCGGGTTTGGTCTAATCAACACAGGCTCTAATTTTGGACCAGAGAAAATCTCTCTTATATCCGGGTCTCTTATATCTGTATTAAATTTTATGAAGTCGGGATTTTGTAATGATTTTACGCCGATCATGAAATAAAGTTGTTGTAAACAAGAAAAAAGAATGAAGATTTTTTTTTTCTTTTTATAGATAAATTTGTTTCTTTCTAGGGAATGCAACTAAATTAGATATTAAGAATAATTAAAAAAACAGTTCTTAATTTCACTTTTAAAATGTGTATATTTCTAGATATGCAAGTCTCCGTATTACTACATACAAATAAAATTGTTTTTATGTATCAAATACACGTAAAATTAGATATAAAAAAATAAAGTAAGCTTTAATCTAAGTTTTAATGTGTATATTTTCAAAACTGCAAGTCATTTTTTTAAACCCAAAGTAAAAATTATTCGTTTTTTTTTTGCCACTAGTATTCAGTGGGTCTGTAAATAATGTATTCAGTGGGTGTTTGTTACTGTTCTGCCTATAAAATTCTTCTAAAGAAGGAAAATTAATTAATTTTATTTTTACAAATATCTTTATGGTTTTATCTAGTGAATACACTTAAGATTATATATTAAAAATAAAATGATTAGAAAATAGTTATTTCAGTTTTAAAATGTGTAAAAAAAAGAACAGGTGCTACTCGCAGATTTAGAAATATATATATTATAAAAATGAATTTAAAAGCTTTTAATTATTTTTAATATTTAATTTTAGGTGTAGCATTCACTAGATAAAAACATTTATTTAGAGGAAAAATAATTCATTGATATTCCTTGTTTAGAAGAAATTTATTTGTAAAACCCCAATAACAGTTGACTGGTGTACCAGAAAAGAATTGCGGTATTTTTAATGATTTTAAACAGGAGGGTGTGATGATGATGATGATGATCATCACACACACATACATACATACATACATACTTACACAAATCCAAATTATACAACAACAAGCATTCATTGGATAATAAATCAACACTACTGTGTAATGGACAATTTATAAATCGCAGCTGTGCGACAATTTTATAATCGCTATATTTTCATGTAGTTGATTTCATGCACTTTTGGGAGAAATGGATCCCAAGAGCCTTCTTAGCTTAGTAAATATTTTCAGGAAATATCAGCTTCTAATTGGTAAATAAACACACAAGTGGGTGTTGCAATCCACCCATGCACAATATATTTTTTCAGCTCGTCAAGTTTCCTGCCAAGGTGCTGTGATCCTGTCACGTGATTGTATTATCTATAAATAGCAAACACGAGTTTGCCTCTTTCTCTTTTACTCTTCAAAATTCTGGTGAAGATGTGATCTTCAGCATTCTTGTCTCGACCATGGCGGTCAGACGTTAAAGCATATTCATGCATTCACGAACCTTCATGAATTTTTCCAACCTACATTACAAGTATACAGAACATTTCCAAACATGCAGCAAGAACTTTAT